TATATATATATATATATCCATATCTCCCCCTATATCGTTATCGCTAATCGAGCCTATCCTGTGACGCAGCAAGAGCGTACAGGAGCTCGGGTAAGTTTTACTTTCTGTTCGTGACTGTAAGCCTTTCGATTTGTTTTCGGCCTACCTATTTGGGCTACCGGAACTGATAGTCTCCGGTACACATATACATATAGGTGTATTTGTATCCGTGGAAGATAACTAATGGGTTTCCCAAATAGGGTTGTTTATACCGCGTGAGTGGGGATAATTGCCGTACGTTGTTGTTGTTTTTTTTTTTTTTTTTTTTTCATTTACGTTGATAGCTGGATGGAGTCAGTCTTACGTATGGTTAGTTGGTTACGTTTGAGGGGGATCATCGGGTATTCGTGGCGCTAAGGGTATAGATAAGCCGTATCGCGTCGGTCAATTTTACTCGCTCGTTGCGTTAACTGGATTGCATATTCGTTCTATTTTTATATGATTTTTCGGTGCTTGGATCTACGTGAGACCTATTGGTGGATCGACATTTTTGTTTTCAGTCCTGACCGGGGGGCCTCTCATGGACGACATCTACAAGCTCGAGCAGTACCACTGCCATTGGGGATGCAGCGATTCTCGGGGTTCCGAGCACACCGTCGATGGACAAGCTTTCGCTGGCGAGGTGGGTACCCATATATTTATCCTCTTGTCAATCGTTAAGTATTGGGGAACTTTTTTATCGCTCGATTGAGTACATGTGAGGATTTACGACACCCAGAGATGGAACTTTTTATCAGACTTTCCAGGAGGACGTTAATCAACGCTCTGCTCTCTTATCTCAATTTTTTGAATGAAGCGTTGAATTGATTTACGTAATGTCACTTTACACATCGACTTTATAATGAAAATGGGTTTATTATTAGCCACTAGAATTTAAATTACATTGATAGTCGCAAGGTACGTATAGGATTATGGAAATCCAATCAAAAGGATAAGACGTAACTATTACGTACCCACACACACGACGCAATCCTGAAAATACGAAGCTATTTCGTACGGCATATACGTATCAAATTGTGATAACGTGTTTCCATTTATCCGAAAGATATTGTGATCTTGTTGCCTATTGTTTAAAACTGAAAATTCACTGTCCAACAACACGTATTAAACGTGTATCCTAATTTCCGTACGTATATGGATCAGTTTTTTTTTTTTTTTCTTTCCCCCAAACAACTTCATCAAATCAGCCCGATTCATCATCGTGTTTGGACTGTAGATAAATTACTTTTTACCAAAAAATACGACTCAAATCTACTTTTAAAAGAAGCCGTAAAACTTAACTTTTGGCCATTTTTTCTCACTCAAAAGAGTTTTCAGAGAGTATAGGTATATGTTCATCATAAAAGCAATGCGTATACCTAGTAGATACATATACGCGAGAGACGAGGGGGAGTTGATGATAATAGTTTTTAAATTGCCACATAAAATCAGCTCTCGGTCTCGAGTATACATGTACAGGTATAGCACACATCACGGCCTCTCTTATCACATCACATGACCGCGTGTCGGCGGAACGTGAGAGCGCGTGGCTCTGCGTCATATCGGGTGATAGCATCGTTGTGTGTGTGTATGTATAGGGTACATCTTACATCATACCGGCTCCATGAAGCTCCGAGGGTATATATACAAGAGCATCCTGATCTGTTCCACGAGACGAGTCGAGCACTCGCAGGCCGATCATCGGATCAAGTTAGCATATAATATATCGCTCTCGACTCGATCTACGGGTTATATATGGGTACTTGATCGCAGGATACATTTTTTCTTCTCACTCGCTCCGTGTTTTTCGTCGGTTATTGCTGACGGGTGCGTTCGTGGTTTTCAGCTATGGTCTGTCACCGCGCGTTACTCGAATCGCACTTTCGCGTCATTAAAAAAGAATAATATGTTGAAAGGTTGCCGCCAAGGTGACATTTGTATAATACACATACGCGAATATATCGACTCGTCGACGATCTATTAACGACCTTTTTTTTTCCATACGTCGTCGGACTCTCGTTTCAGGCCGTCTGAAAGGTCTACTAATCTCACGCGAATCCATTACCATGCGTACGTTACGATAAAAAAGGTAGCGACCGGTCGTTTTTCTAATTGCGCGGTACGAAGAGAAAATTACGGATTACGGAATTAGGTGTGTGGGGATTAGGTTTAAGAAACAAATGAATTGCCATACGCGTTATTACGTTTGTTTGACGAGTGCCCTGACCGGCGGGCGCAATTATTTTATGGATTTTTCAACGCTTGCAGTTTCTGTCTCTTCGACAAAGTGCCTGTACTCTTTTTGCTGAGAACATTCTTTGTTCATTACTACTCGTAGCGAAATATTGAAGGAAAATAAATTTTTTTTTTTTTTTTCCACTGCCAGATAAGTGTGCAGTGCGTTTTATAGATATGTGTTGAACTTTATTGTAAGGTATTTCAAGTAAAATATTTTGATACTTTGTTTCTTTTTCTTTAAATTTTCGTGTATCTTTTTAGCAGGAAATACCATTTTCTTAACCCACAGAATATTGATTAATTCAGAAAATAATTATATTGCAAAAACAATTGAAAAAGCAAGTCTGTGGTATCGTTCCAAAAAATTAGATTCGCATTGCGCGTTGGAATGCAGCTTTTCGTTCGGCTCGGGTTGCGCAACTCGCGTAAAAGTATACCTATATACATGCAACTCAGGCCGATCAACTCTCTCGCGCTTCGTTATAGCAACGCATCGCTCGTTACGTGATAGTACGGCAGCCGTAACAGCTTAGTGCAGTAAATCGAGAGGGGAAAAAAAAAACAACGCAGAGGTGCAAGCGTATTACGATCCGATGACGCAAACGAGGAGCCGATTTGTTGTTTTTTTTTTTTTTCCTCTATATATACTCACGGTACTATAACTCGTTATCCCGTGAGGGTTCGTCAAACGTATTTGTGTACTCCACCCCGATTTTTTTTTTTTTTTTAATAGAACAATGACACGTTAGGGTGGATTTCATTACGTGGAATGATCGTGGAAATGTTTTGATCTAGACGATGTTTGCTCATTCATATAGATACGCGGCGTTTGAAAATTCATCCTTCGTGACTAAATACCCCTGCCCAGGGTATATAAATGTATACACCTATTTTCCGTCTCTTGCGGGTAATCACGTGTCATTAGCGTCGATCGCCGGCAAGACTTGCTCGCGTGTGTACTCGTTCCCTTATTAAAATTTTTCCTCGTTTATATACAATATCTACACACCCACACAGGCGTCTATTATTTTTCAACCAAAACAATTGTCCCCGCTAATTTTGCCCCTACTGCCCATTAGCTAAGCAGCTGAATAATTTCCTACACGGCCTTTGTACACATTTATATACATTATGCGTGAGAGTAGTTTTCGGCGAAAATTCAAAACAGGACAATAGAGGCGTACGTCTTTATACGGTTTTGCGCGCGTTACGTAAAGGAGACAAGGCAATCGCATCAGCGCAAGGGGTGAAATGAATTCTCCCGAGGGAAAAACAGTTTCTTACCCAGTAGGTGTTGGGAACAAATGGTTTTCGGATGCGCAGCACACGTGCGGTAAGCCTCATGCAGGACCTCCCGGTCTAAAGGATTTTACATTCGTTTCGGTCGCGTAATATGCAAATAGGTGTTACATGGAAGTTGGATGTGACTCTAGTTGACGTTTTTCTGTTGCAGTTGCATCTCGTGCATTGGAACACCAGCAAGTACAAGACGTTCGCCGAGGCAGCCAAGGCGCCCGATGGACTGGCCGTGCTCGGGGTCTTCCTCAAGGTTCGTATACGCAACACCTCTTTTTTTTTTTACCCCCCTACGGCGATACGTTTCACGCGTCTCTTTGCACATCGGGAAAATACTTACGAGAGCGGAAACACGTGTGTATACATGTATTGGTTTTCACAACCAATGATTGACTTTCACGAAGCTGCAAGCGCTTTGTTTTCTTTTTTTTTTTTTTTTTTTTTTTCTCCAGCATACAGCTTTTTGAATAAATCATCCACGAAACTGTACATTTCACGCCCCACGGTTCTCACGTAAGAGAAGTTCCGATGCGTATAATCATTTGGCACTTACGCAAGCGTTTTTCTTCTGCAATATATTGGGCATTACCGTAAGCGTCGTGACATATTCTCTTTATTTACAGGTGTACACTTGATGTCGAGAATAAATTGACAAGTGTGTGGTATATTATGCACAGCCGAGACCTCGATGTACTTATTCCGTGTTGTCTAAACGATGGATTTTCTTTCATGAATTTACTCGCCAATAGAATGCGGCAAAACGCTCCCATGTGCAATGAGTGTGCGTGTGTATAGAATCATAAAACGGGCGCGTGTGTGTGCGTGCACACGTGCGATTGTTGGTATAGGCACACACCGCATGATTTATGCTGGTCGAGCGCGCGATTATCCTCGCTCCTGTTTCCAGGCATTTAATAAAATAATACAGGCCTCGGTGAAAGAAATTGCGGGGTAACCTACTTTGAAAAACAAAATCAACCGCGAAACGTGAAATTATACATACTTTGCGATAGATATATACATATATATGTATGTGTGTCTTTCGTATGTAGGTGTAACCACGAAAGAATGGGAGAGAGATAAGCGCGAAAAAGTAAGAAATTACACGAAAATCGATCGAGACGTCACGCGCGTGTATATATTATCTGCTTAAAGGTAATAAATATAGAGAGATCACAGCTGCTGTCGTCGTAAGGATGCACCTCGGTGTCGCTATACATAATTCGTACGTACACGACGCGGCTTAGCCCTACAAACAGAACCCACACTAGTGTGGGGATCGATGATTGTTTGGCATAATCAATTATGCAAGACGTCGGCGTGACTTTACGCTCTCGATGCAACGTAGTCACTGTCTCCTCTTATGAAATTTGTAAAAAAAAAATTCCATTATGTATAATATAAGTATATACCTTATACGTCCAAGGGAAATACTGTAATATGTTTGGCTGCACGTGTCAAACATGTTTTTGTATTTATGTGACAGGGCAAAAATGAGTTTTTCAAGAAAATTTACACGAAAATGAAAAATACCCCGAGAGCGTTCATACAATACAGCCATACGAATATGTTACCACCAGTGGCCGGTGTAACAAAAGTGTCCATAACAAAGCTGCCCATAATTATTTCTGTCTGGCGGACGCTTAATCAGTGGACTTTTAAATTTAGACGCTCGTTAGGCTACATCATTATTATTATTATCATCACCTTTCGGCCTTACGCAAATTTTAATTGACCCATGCACGTAACACGCGCAGTCTATGCATATATTTATACATCTAACGCGCGAACTACGTGTATGCTTTGCTCGGCTGAAAAGTTATAGTGGTGCATAACGCTATATCGCCCAACCATTGAAACGACGGTTATATAGTGTAATCAAAATAACACAGACGACGAAATGATGTTACGAGCAAGTATCTCTCCATACTTATATATATATATATATTGCTTTGCAACAATTGATCGCACGCGTGTACACGGTTATGGAGCGAATTACGTTTTCTCCGGAGCAATCGTCAACTCTATCCGGCTGTTGCGCAAGTCCAAACTCGTCCGAGAAACGTCAAACATCCGAAGATGATGATGATGATGATGATGATGATGCTCCGTTATGCAAACACAAACTGCGACGGTGGAAAAAAAAATCACAGATCTATACACGCCCGTCGCCGAGTCACGTACTTATACACACAATTGCACAATACTGCATAATGTTCTGAGCATCGGGTTTTGAAAGAAATCCACACCACGTGCGCGTGATGCACAGCCGGATGGTAACGGATCATTTTACGCGAGCCCGAAAATTATTGTTCGTCTCTCGGGCTGTTATTTCGACGGACAATTGTCGCATGAGCTTTCAAGACGATTCGCTTAATGGTAAAAGTGCAACGTGGATAGGCGATTTTGTACTCGCTTTTTTTTCTCTTCCTCCTCTCGACCTGTACACTCTAAATAATTTTCCCGCAAACAATGAGTGACAATGATCGAAATTGTTTGTTTTTTCCCACTTAATTTAACGGAATGCAGGCTTTGCCGTCTCGATAAGCAAAAAAGAAGCTTTCAACAAAAGCAGCCCAAACTACCTACACGTCTACACGTGAGGCCATTGCGTTACTCAAAACCTTTTCGTTTTCGCAGGTGGGCAAGCCGCACGAGGAAATGGATAAGATCGCTCGGCTGTTGCCGTACGTCTCGTACAAGGACGACTGCATCGACATCACCGAGCCCATTGATCCCAGCAAGCTACTTCCCGGTAAACAGCGACAACTATACTTTTTTTTTTCCCCCATCTTTCGCTCTCTTTGTTTTTCACTTTCGCCGCCCTCCCCAATGGATCTCAACATATTAACGCTGGACCGTTTCAAGGTGACGATAAAGTACAAACGCAATACGTGTATGGACGAGCAACTACGGACAATTGCTCCAATTGGGACGTGACGTAGGCGCCCTTATTTTCATTTTATAATACAAAAATAAATAAAAATAAAAAAAAAAAAAGTAGGAAACGTCCCATACGGTAGACGTATAACCATCTCAGCCAAACGTTTTTTTGGTAATTTAGCCGCAACGAATGGCGCGTTATACTCGTTTCATTCGACACGCCGGTGCTTGGGTACGCCGAGCTGTAATCCATCCCTCGCTCGGATTAATTATGTTCCGCACGCGCACGAAAAATATCCGCGTCTCGGGCGAAAAAAACAACCAAGTTACGGTACGGCCATCGGTAGAAGGACCCCCGGAAAAATGTAATTTTGCTCGGGTGTATACTACTTATTACATACGAACGGTTATTGCGGCGGAAGCGTCAGCTCCGGATGAGCGGAATTCCGGAGGGGGTTGGGGGACGAAGACACGATACTCGAGGGAAAATATTGTTTCCCCTTTATCACTCGCCCGAGTTGGTGTACATGTACGTATATGGGCCGCCATTCATCACTTCGAAAGTGGATAATACATCCCGATCCCATGGCAACAACAACTGCGTTGCTCGCACACGCATGCGATTTCCCCGCGCCTTTTTTTTCTTTCGGTTCATCGACGTAACTCGGTGATTACGCGATTTTCGAGAGCGATATCATACCTACGCACGCAACAATCCTAGAACGAGAAAAAAAAAAAAAAAAAAAAAATAGTTTACATGATGACCGGCGCTATTGAACTTTGTGCCGGCACGCATGTACGCCCGGGTAGGTGTACATATTGTAACAATCAACCGCCGATTCAATTAATTTTCCCAACTTTTTTCGCCTCCTCTTGTATATATACCTCGATCGACTTTTCTTTCTTTTTTTTGCTCCCTCCCTTCTAACGGTATATACGATACTAATGGTGTCGTAAAAAAAGGGGACGAAAGCAGCTAATAATTCTTCCCGAGATGCTTGGCTCCCAAGTATCAATTTCCAGGCCCGGAGCAAAAAGGCTGATTTATCGAGCCTATATACCTACACGGGGAAAAAAGGATCTATTGTGCTCTCCCTCGATAATCCTTAGCTTTTTCATCTCCCGCGTGCTCGAAACGATATACGGTACTTGTGTATACGTCGAATGGTCAACGCGAAATCTTAAAGGTCGAGTGGCAAACAGTGTCAAAAACAGGGTTGGTGGGGGTCGCACGGCAGAAGCTCATAATATGTGTATGTATATGTATATAAAACGTGTAGTGGCAGTGCGGGGTGGCAGCAACGGTGGGGCGCAGCGCTTCGTGAATCCGTGCATGCGCTGGGCCGGTCGCATCATCCGCCCGGAAAACAAGCGCGAACAGCAGTGCCAAGGTGCGTAACCCAACCCCCTCACTGCACCGTGTGCAACTCCGTTTCACGGCATATTCGCTTCTTTTTTTTCTTCCTCATCTTCGTGTTTTTGTCTGTGTTGCTTTGTTTTTTCCATCTCGCAATCGCCGCCTGGCCACTGTATATTATATTATACGTCTCTTCGCAAGACCACTCTTCTCTTGGTATATTCCATTTACCACCGAATGTCGTGCTTTCCTCGGGGTTTTCTTCCACACGCGCTATGCCGTTGCTTCCACGGGTCACTTTGTCAAACTGGAATTGAGCGGATTGAAGGCTATATTCTCGTCGAGCGTGTGATGCTTCGCGTGAACCCAACAAATAGACGTAATTGACGTTAATAGGGGTTTTTAACCGAGTTGTCTCCCACCAAAGTATACAATTTTCTCCAAAGCAGCTAGTAGGTATAGACGACGAAAATTCATACGTGCAACTACGGGTGTTGTGTTGTACCTGCCCCACCAATAACTACATAAGTATGCGGACGCACGTACCGGGAATATACGTACAAGTTTTTCCCCTTTAGGTGCGTACCTATATATACCTATGGATGAATAATTGTGAGCAAACAAACGATGGGACGAGCAAAAGACTTGTGTCTCGTGCGTCAGAGATCGGCCGTACTTCCGAACGTCAATCCGTAGATTATATATTGTTTTTCTGGGATGCATAGCGTATCTTATATATACTGCGTCTCAATTTTTTTGCTTTTTATCGATTTTTCCCTTCAATATTAATAACACCTACAACTCAATTATTATCATATTATGCAAAATATCCTTTTTTACAATGGAATATTTGAGAGTAAGGGTGTTGTATCATCGAGCCAACCCTTTTACCCGGGTAATCTGTAATAATAGTTGCAGGCGTATGAAACTAAAAAATGCCGAAAAAATCAACTCTCGCGTAAAAATCTATAATGGAATTCGGCTCAGTTTTACGAGTAGTTTTTTTTACCACCCAGCACCTTTTGCACATGTTGTCAAGCTTCGCTTTTTTTTTTTAATCTTTCCGATCCCCCATGACTACATCGAACGCGTGGATAGAAATGCATATACAGTAGGTATATATAATTTCGTTCGGTGTGTGTGCACTTTCCTCGAACGGGTTATTACAGAAAAGAAGAGGGAAGCGCGATTATTTTTCTTGCAACGGCGGTACACGTATATATAAGGGACACCGCCCTCGGCAAACATTGACTCTCCTCATGTATAGGAAAAAGAGCCACCGCGGGGGGGGGGGGGAAAAACAGAGGGCGAGTGCAAATAGTTAATTAACCGGAAAGATCATTTATATACGTTTTCCAAGTGAATTATTTTATTTATAGCCGCGCATCGGAGAAGCGGCAGCATATGTATAGTTTTGCCCCGCTCATTGGAACTCCAATGCATCACCTTAATGCCTCGACTTGACTTGGATATTATTTTCTCGCGGCCCACGGCGTTACTCACTCGTTGCGGGTATATATTAATAGATAGGTACAAAAGCTCGGGAGGCGTCTGGAGCCGGTTCCTCGTCTCATCAACTCCCGTCTTAACGTTTATAAATATATCCATACCATGTGTGTGTTTTCAACGTAACTCACCGATCGGCACCAACGCCCATACGTTTGTGTGAGCAGCGAGACAATATTTTTTACAGCTCACCAAGTTTTGCACTTTATTTGTAATGACACATTCCCAAACGGGTACCAAAAAGTACGCACGCGCTTTTGGTGTTGCACGATTTTGATTATTCTCCACGTGCACTTATTTTAATGTTGGAAATGCATGGAAAAGGACAATATTATTTACACACCTATAACCTCATCGGATTAATTTCATTAGTGCGCTTGTTATTTATTTAACGGACGTAACGATAAAATTAGCGCGTGCAATGATAAATCAATGTCGAAAGTCGGGGAATCACCATTTTTTTTTAAATAATTAATAAGCTTTGTTAACGAATCGAGCTTTAAGAGCACTTTTATAATCTTCTTAAATTGTTACGACTAAATACATATTCACGCCGATCTTACATAAATGTTGTTCCTGTAGATACTTACATAGATCAGCAGAAAAGATTCCCTTTTTTTTAAATAAATTCAATACTTGAAGACTTGACACTATTGGATTATTGTAATTGCATAACTTACCGATATAGTATGAATTAAGGATATAATAATAATAATAATAATACCTAAGTTTAAGTACATAGCAAGATTCAGGAAAAAGATTAACATGTAATTTTGTCGGGCACCAATTTTTGTCATGGATCCCCCTTTCAAACTGAATATTTAAAACTTTCATTGACCACAACAGTGAAAAGGGTGAGAGCAGCAAAAAAAAAAAAAAAAAAAAAAAATGACATTTGTTCCCTTTTGTCATCCGTACAGAGGACAAAGGTTATTGGACGTACCTTGGCTCGCTGACAACGCCGCCCTGCAACGAGAGCGTCACTTGGATCCTCTTCAAGCAAGACATCGAGGTTTCTCACCACCAGCTCAACATTTTCCGCAACCTGCGCAAATTTTCCCGCGGCGAGGACTGCCCTTGCCACGAGAACCATGGCGTGGTGAGTGTGCGACATATTAAATATTATAGAAAAAAAAAAAAAAAAAAAAAAAAAAAAATTTTTTAAAATTTTTTAAAAAAAAAAAAAAAAAAAAAAAAAATGACTTGTAAGAAGAAAAAAAGACTCAGTGTTGATATTGTTTTTCTTTTTTCATGATTAAATATAACATGATGGAAACAGTACAATGTATGGTAAATTACTGGGCACGTACGGATTCCATTTCTAGGACACGCTTACACTATTAGCAGCGGATGAGAAAGAAGCCTTCACCTACTCTTCGCGGGAACGGTTTGCGCGTACTGTTTCTGCGATTATTATCCAAGAGTTAAATATTTACGCAGTGCCGATCTCCTCCTCCTTCTCTCTTGCGACGACAATGTGTAATATACTGTTGTGGTAACGCCAAAGTGGCTCCCATTCCCGCGATGCACTTTCGCGAAAGCTTTCCACTCCGAGACCTCATTGCAGCGGTGGGTGCTATACGTGTAACTCTCGTCCACCAGCGTGCCAATTTGTATGATCGCTTTCGCTCGAATTTTCATTTTGATCGGATCGAATGAGTGTACAAGTACAGGAAATGTGCTGGTCGTGAAAAATCAAAAGCTTCCAAAACGATGTCTGTGCGTGTTACCTCTATCAACCTGTCACTGCTCAATGTATAGCTGGAAACAAAAAATTTAGAAAAAACTAATGAATATCAATACGATCTTGACTAGAAAACAATTATAATCATTCGATTGTAATAATGTTAAATGAAAAATCGGTTGTTACAACATTGTTTGTTAAATCAGCGTGAAAAATAATGTTTGTTTTCGAGCCTTAGTCTAAGTAGCTCTCGACAAGCTAAAGCAGGATGTTTTTTAAAAATTTGCAGTTAAAATTAAACAGTTGAGGATTATTTTTGAATCAGTATGAACCACCATACTTTTTCCTTCGAGACGATCACGCATTTGGTATCCTAAATACTCATCCGATGTTGAAATGAAATTTTTTCACATAACGCATTGAAATCCAATACAGCCATCCAATTAAAATGAAAATTTAGCCGTCAGAGAAGCCACAGTCAGCAGCCACTGCCGTTGCACCTCCATTCCAAGTTGGTGTTTCGTGAGCCCGAGCCACTGCGGATGCCGATTCGTTTTCACCCGCACAATCTCGTAACATAATAGCGGCGTTATTCTCTCGACTCTCGACCAACAAAATGGTAATAGGGGCGTAGAGGGAAAAGTGGAGTAAAGCCATATTATACACCGTGTACACCTATCCTATAGACACGGGAAAAAGAAAGCCGCTCTCGAAAAGGAGGTCTGAGATTCGCAATCGAGAGAAAAGGGAAAGGTGGCGCTTGTGGCTTTTCCAGAAAAGAAAGTGCACGACTGGCTGTTCTATGCGCTTTTTTCTCTCTCTCCCTCTCTCGAGTTTACGATCTTTTCATTGTCGTGTGGTTCTTGGAGCACTGGTGCAAGTAGAGCGACGTAAATCGGTGGAAAAAGAGAAAAAAAAAAAAAAAAAGCTCACACGCGATATAAATATGCCTCGTCCGTGCCATTTTTCACACACATGTATAATACATTGTACTCGATTGTCAATGATGATGATTATGGTGGGGAAGCCATGCAAATTTTATTTTGATTCTTCATCTATACCTGTCCAAACATTTTATCCATATATTTCTCATGAGCTTTACTTATTTGTACGTGTAGCAATTTTTTTTTTTTTTTTTTTTTTTTAAAAAGGGAAACTATTTGTTTCAAAGTAATAAAT